CGGCTGAGAGAGTCGGCTTCGGCCTTTTGTGCTTCCTTCTGTCGTATCTGCGCGTTCTTCTTGGCCTTTTGCGCGATGAGCTGCTTGTGTTGTGCCATCCTGGGCAGTGTCAGATGTGTTTAGAGATGGAAGGTGCAGGGGACCCACTCTTCGGGGGAGATGGTCTTCCACTCGATCGTGGAGTCATCGTAGGGGCGGCGGCAGGCGGGACACAGTCCGTTCATGGTCGTCTTGATGTTGTTGTAGCAGAACTGACATATCTGGCACGTGGGTCAGCATGGGACTCGAGATGGTTCACCGAGTTTTGGCACAAAGGCGTACTTGGTAGCCGCATGGGCAGGGGCGGAAGTTCCTGTCCGAGAGGTCGAACTCTTCGACACAGAGCGGGCAGCACTCCTCCTCGTCATCGTCGACGAACTGGTCCTGCTGCAGTCGAGACATGGTGTGTATGGTTGCGATGTGTTGTTGAGAGCGGGTGGCGCCCAAAGTAGAGATACGTGGGGTGAGACGAGACCTGGGGGGTCGGGACGAGAGGTCAGTAAGGAAACCGCGGAAGTACAAATAAACGCCGGCCGGAGTGTCGCTGTCGCTGGAAGAGGGATCCACAGGAGGTGATGGGGGTTAAGAGGCTGCACCTGCGCGATGGCACACCAGGTTCCGCTTAACGCTAGCGACTTACATAAGCGCGCATTTGCGGGTGGGAGCTGCGAACTCGACGACGTCGACGACATCACCACCCGCAGTCGCCTTCACCTGCTACATCGCGTAGCCTCACCACTCCCTCACCGCACACAATGGCTATGCGGCTAGCTGTAGGCCGGCCATTGGGCGCCGCCGTCCGCGCCTCGGGCTCCTCCCGCCATGCAGTTCGCACCTTTGCCTCCACGGCTCTCCGGGCAAAGGAAGTCGCGGGTCCCGAATCGGAAACGCCAAACATGAGGGTGCGCATGTCACATGATATGGCGAAGACGTGGTTTCTAATGTAAACGCAGTTTGCCCCCCGCGACGAGACCGTTACGCTCAAGCGCGCCATCGTAAACCCGGCCGACCATTACAAAGAGAAGGGCGAGGCTCTGCACAAGTATGGGCAGTACATCATGTCATGTCTGCCCAAATACGTCCAGCAGTATGTCAATTCACACCTGGCAGTGAACTACCGTCTGACCCTACCCAAGGTTCTCCGTATGGAAGGATGAGTTGACCATCTACGTCCCGCCCGCCGGCATCATCCCCACCTTCACCTTCCTCAAGTACCACACCGCCGCGGAGTACACACAAATCTCAGATATCACCGCCGTCGACTACCCCACCAAGGACCAGCGTTTCGAGGTCGTCTACAACATGCTCAGCATCCGTCACAACTCGCGCCTGAGGGTCAAGACGTACGCGGATGAGGCCACCCCAGTACCCAGTCTGTGCGATCTCTACGATGGTGCCAACTGGTACGAACGTGAGGTCTACGATCTGTTTGGTGTCTTCTTCGTTGGACACCCGGATCTGAGGCGAATCATGACCGACTACGGTTTCGACGGCCACCCACTGCGAAAGGACTTCCCCATGACTGGATACACTGAGATCCGATACGACGAGGAGAAGAAGAGGATTGTCGTAGAACCCCTGGAGATGACACAGGCTTTCAGAAACTTCCGTGGTGGTTCATCAGCCTGGGAGCAGGTCGGTCCTGGTGACGATCTTAAGCCGGAGAACGTAAGCTATCCTGCATCCTACTCTCTCGATGCAGCCTCTAATATGCACGCAGTTCAAGCTCCCTACGCCAAAGCCAGAGCCTCCCAAAGAGGGAGAGCAAAAGAAATAGAAGGTTTAGAGCATTTGGATTGTATATACCTGCGAATGAACGTGATTGTACAACATCCGATGGTCCACAACGTGTACCCACTGCTGTGATGATTTGCTCGGTGTAGTTGCTTCACTTGTCGGCGCTTTTGAGTCTGCACAATCCAGATTGCACGTCGGAGTAAGATTCACAAAACTTTCATATGGGATTAGCCATGCTAGGCACGTGTCCGACTGCTGCAGCCCGATCGCGTCTCGTATTTCGTATTTGAAGTCTCGATGTTCATGCCAAGCAGATCTCGCATTTCCCCGCCCAATCAGGGAAGCGCCTAGCACTGCACCTTCCTCCGTCAGTTCCCACTTGTCGGGTAAACATCGGTACCCGCTAGACAACGTCTTGCATGATCTGCCGTAGTATGGCTTGATGTGTAAGACGAACCACCATAGCTACCCATAGGAAGTCAAATCTTGCACGTTCTCACCCGGAACAGTACCCCGCTTTCCCCGGCTGCATCACAAGATGCCGACATCCCAGGATGAAGAGGCTTCGGGGTAATCTCCTTTGGTATCCTCAGTGGGCTCTCTCCACAGCCATCACAATCATCCAGCTGTATCATACCGACGTTCTACCGTACTTCCGACTTCCCGCCAATCGCATGCGTTACCATACTTTAGCAGTAATCGCCGTCGTCACACCCGTAGAGCTGTCTTGCATCACTGCGCCAAGGTATAAATACAATCAGGATTCCATAGATTAACATGCATCACCAAGATGAAGTCCTCCATTCTCTCTTTCCTCGCAGCCACAGCCACAGCCGCAGTCACCATGTCCAACACGACTACCACAACCATCAAGCCTTTCAGCCTCTCGGCACCACCAAACACTGACATCTGGCGCAAGCCTCCCATGCACAACGCCTTCAATGCATCGACCTACCCAGAGCAGCTCCCAACCTACACTCTGAAGAACTTCCAGCGAGCGCAGCTGTCGTTCGAGCTTCCACCGTCTGACCAACTCCGCCAATACGATCAAGCCGGCCTCTTACTGCACGTCACCAAGCCAGGTGTTCCAGACAACCAAACCAAATGGATCAAGACTGGTATCGAGTTCTACTACGGAAAGCCGTATGTGGCGACCGTGGGCTGTGATGCTTGGGCTGACTGGTCACTCACACCTATGCCTGAGTTCAAGAACGGTACTATGCCCGGCGCCACCATTGAGGCGAGAAGGGAGAGCGATGCGCTCGGCAACAGTCTTTGGATTTACTGGATTATCAAGGATGAGGCTGGCAAGGAGGTCAGCAGGCAGCCATTGAGGGAGGTCACCTGGGTCCTTGCTGAGGAGTACGAGCGATGGAGCGTGAGTATCGCAGGATACGTTTGTCGCCCGACCACGGCAGGTGGCGATGGGATGCTTGAGGCGGAGTTCAAGGACGGCCTGGAGATTGAGACTCTCAATCACGCGTAAGGGGAGGGTGCAAGCTGGGCGTTTGTTCTGGTACGTGATATCGTCACCTGCGGTTGCGATAGTACCTGACTGACAAACAGTAGATGGTTTATAAGTCGCAGTGACGCGTGAATAGCCAGTAAATATCTCAATCTGATATCGTTTACCTCCATATATACGAACTTCCCCGCACATATCTTGCTCAATAAGGCTATCAAATCCATATCTTGCGACTGCAGTGAGCACAATATGACCCAAGTCTGCTTCCAGGAGAGTCAAGTGAGCTATCACTGGCTCCTGAAAAGAGTCAGCCGAGCGTAAGCGACAGTGTCTCTCATTCATTGAGCAAAACACAAACTCACTGCGCCTGCCTAGAGAGCACTGACCTCTGGGCTATATATCCTCATCGATTTTGATTTCTTGATCCGCACTCCCTCTTCGACAAGAACAGTCGTCTGATTCAATACCCTCTACGATTTCGCGACAATGGTCAACGTTCAGTTACACTGCCCGTCCACGAAGAAGACCGTCGAGGACTTCTTCGTCACACCGTTCCAAACTCTCGAGCAAGTTCTACCAAGTGTACGACTTGCCCTCGACATCAAGTATGCCGCGATATATACCACAGAGGCTAAGCGCATCACGGAACCGAGTACTCTCCAAGAAGACCAGCGGGTGCTGGTAGCAGCTAGTGCGAAAGAGATCATGTTGCCTGATGCACCGTACGAATGGACTCTCTACGACGGCGAGGAAGGCGACGACGTTGACATGAACGTCGAGTGCTACGGCCTAGAGTGGGTAGTAAGTATACGTTGTTCTTTCTTCACCTCAAAGGAACGTCACTGACTGGAGTGTAGGAGCTATGCGACCACGACAAGTGCCTGCACATCACCAGTCTGAACAAGCAGAAGCCCACAACTCGCAACAAGCTTCGTATCACCCGCGAGTACAAGCCTGTCGAGGCCGACATCGAAGCCTTGAATTCCACGACTTCAACTTCTGCACGCGTTGCCGAAGACGAGGGTCACATCGAGAAGTGCTGGGGCATCACCGTCGAGCACTTCTTACCTACATCGATGAAGCCTGCGGCCGCCAAGTCCAGTTCGAAGTCTTGCGATCCTTCCACACTGGCTGTCCTTAGTATCCTGGCAGGCTTCACTCAGGGCCAATCTCGTCTCGTCCTAGAGGTCCTCGAAGAAGCGGTTGCTCTTCGCACTGGAGAGGATCAGGGTGAGGACAAGGATCCCGCTTTGCAGAAGCAAGACGTTCTTAACGCGATCACCATGATTTACGAACGCGCTGAAGTCATTGAGGCCAAGCTGATCAAGGGCAAGGGTGCGAAAGGAAAGGGAAAGGGGAAGAGGAGGCCCTCGAAGGGCACTCCGAAGAAGCTTGGCGCTATGTCGAGTTGAGTGAAGTGATAGATGGACGAGGCGGCTACTTTATGAGCCTGGTATTCACATGGAGTTACTTGAAGGAGCGAGGGTATACCCGGAGTGTTTTGAAAGTCATATTGGGGATGAGAAGTGTTACCCAGACGGCTACATTGGTTTGTACGGTATACATCAACTACGGAAGATACTCATGTAGCTGGGAAGACAGGCTACAGAGTACAATTGCAATGGATCTATCAAGTTTGTGTTTGTCCACCAACTGTCTTCATTACCAACAAGCAGATATGTCAGGATATGTATACTTGTATCTTCCATACATCCCCTCTCAGATCTTCGACATTTCTCCTCGCTCAGACGATCAAATCATGTCAGGACAATCATCACCAGGTGCACAACCAACAAGTGCGCAAGCTACGGAAGAGCCCGCCATCTCTAGTAAGTTCAACTCCAAGACTATTCCACAAGAAAGACGTACCAGCTCTCTGACCAAGCAGGCCAATGGCTTCTAGACAAGCTCAAGAAGAAGTCCCGTCAAGACAGAGAAGATTGTACGTCCACTACCCAGCTCACTCTCTTTCCACCAACCATCTCACTGAATCTACCACTCTACCTCCCCATACCCCAACTCCCCATCCTTCCAGACCATCCTAACGCACCCACAGACCTCCGTATCCTCCGCTTCCACGTCAAAGAAAGCGCTGCAGAGAATGCATTGCAACAAGCACGCAACACCACAGTCTCCGAATTCGTACTACAGAAACTTCAGAAACTTGAAGGTGAACACCCCGAACACGAGGTCGATGCGGCGAGGGAGTATGAGAGAATGACGAGGTGGAAGCTGCTAGTTGAGAAGGCTGTCGGCGATGCTAAACATGAGGGGTTGATGGAGTTGGTGAAGAGGGTTGAGGAACTGATTGAGGGTGATGCAGATGGACAGGCTGGGGTTTGATGATGCGGGTTTGTGACGGTCAGGGGGCGAAAGACGAGACTAGTGAGACGGAGATCTAGATGATGCACGAGTCCAGTGAGTTTGGGGTCTGTATGCCGCTTGCCTCGATAAACCACGTCGCGAGGAGCAAGCTACAAAGCCCATCGAATCCATCGAGTTTGTAGCTGTGTACCAAGCACCTCAGGTACTACCAAATAATTGTCACCGATACAAGCACGACCACATATATCAGCGTCAGATCTTTTCCAACATCTGTACTCCATCTCATACACACCTACCTAGGTAGAAGACAGCATCCCGAACGCATCGCTCAAGTATCTCCAAACGAATCGACCAGCATGTCCGAACAAGAACAGCCACCAGGCCCGCAAATCTACATGTCCCAAGGGGATAAGTTCTCTAGTAACGAAGCCCCCAAAGCCCCTTCTTAGAAAAGTCAACGACTTGCTAACTCGATACCATGAAGCGGTGACGGAATACCTAGATTTCCTCCAAACCCAGTCACGACGTCCCAAAGAAGAATGTACGCACACCCACACCCCAGACGGGCTCCTTCTCTGCAACCGTCACTTACGTGTACATTTTGACACTTGTATAGGCCTGACCGTCCTGAAGAAGTCCATTGACAAGAGCGTGAGACGTGTAGCTGAACATCGTGAACGCGACGAATTAGTCATAGAACTCGCTCAGTCAGGGGTCGAGGCTATGGAAGAAGGAGAAGAACGAAAGCACGAGGTGGAGAAGCTCGAGTTTAAGAAGAAAAAGAGAATGTTTGAGTCGTTGGTGGATGCTGCCATGCATGACGGCTTACAGAAGTTGACCGGTGCGGTCGAGGAAATTGTGCAGAATCATGTGCCGAATGAGAACGACGCTCCTCAATCGTAGATGGAAAGAGTTGGCTAGGTTTGTAGTTTGCGAACTCTTTGTCTTGATTGACCGACGTAGTAAATAGCAAACAGTGCCATCACATATATTCCGGCAGTGCGATACTTCTTTGCTCAGAATCTCTATCACTCTTCTATCAGTCAGCTCTCCCTCAGTCATGAACTCACATCTGACCTCTGTATCTAAAATGCGGCATGCGAGAAGCGTCAACGACTTGCGAAAAGCGCCAACAATGGTTACAGATGCAGAGCCCCTAAACCCACACGTTCGTCCAAACATATCCAGTGAGTGCTACCGCAACGTCCTTTTCCGAGAAGAAAACAGCAGACTAACGAACAAAAAACAACAGGCTTATGGTTCACTTCCACTCTCCCCAAAAAGAGTCTCAAAGATCGAAATGCCTGTACGTGCCTAGCTCCCCTCTTCTTCCTCACCCTATAATCGTTCTTTTACCTACCCCTGCCTGGATGTTGCTCGCTTCCCTTTACCATCTCACGCAGCTCACCTCATAGCTACTGGTGGAGCTCGAATCTTCTGACACGCATACAGATGAACGTACCCTTCGCTACTATATCCAAGACAGCATTGTCGAGAGAAAATCAATCACTGACAAATCCGACGATTACATCAAACGGGAAGAGGATCGTGTCGAAGATCTGGAAGAGCAGCTAAAGCGTGCGAAGGGGAAACTAGAGGAAGAGAGGCGACAGATCGAGCTCGAGAAGGCAGTACATGATACTAAGCACGAAGGCTTGGTGGAGTTGCTGAGCAAGGTCGACCAAACGTTGTTTCGAAAATCTTAGAGTGGGAGGAAACAGCGGGTTTGCGGTTTGTCGACCTACCAGTCATGTCACCAATCGACGAGTTTTATAGCAAACCGCACGCGTCCTATACATGCATGACACTACGCTCTCTTATTAGCAGTATCCTAGATCCGTCGTTCTTCTACCAATCCGCTATTGCACCTTGATCCACCAAACACCTTCCCACATCTCCATCCCAGCACCCTCTTCACAAACCGAAACCAAAATGTCCGACGAGGAAGAAGCCCCACTCCCCGCAACCATCGAGATCAACAGTAGGCAACCTTCCCTCCTCAATCTTGCAGAACCGCTACCTTAGCCATAAGAAAGTGCCAGCTAACCAACCCCTCTTCAATAGCAGCATGGTTCCTATCCAAACTCCCACAGCTGTCGTTTGAAGACAGACACGAATGTAAGTAACCATCACCATGTTACCTACGTATTCCAACACAGCCAAAATACGCTACTAATCCAACCTAATCCTTACACAGACAACGGCGTTCTCATCCGTAACATCGAAGCCATGATGAAAGAGTTGGGATTGCCCGACCCTGATCACCACGCCGCCAATGTGAACGCCGATGCTGAAGTCGTGGCAGCAAGGAGATTAGTTGCGGAAATGAAGGAGCTGCAGGAGCTTGCGGAAGAACGTTTGGGATTGCCCGACCCTGATCACAACGCCGCCAATGCGAACGCCGATGCTGAAGTCGTGGCAGCAAGGAGATCAGTTGCGCAAGCGAAGGAGCTGCTGAGGCTTGCTGATGAACGTTTCCATCGTGTGCATGATATATCCATTGCTCTGGGTCAGGAAAAGGGTAGGAAGATTGGAGCCTTGCGTACGCTGATGAAGAAGACTAAAGAGGCTATGAAGAAGACTAAAGAGGCTATGCGGGAGGAGGGGTGGACAGATCTTGGGGAGGCAAGTGAAGAACATGGTGACAGCTCTGATAGTAGCTGATTTCCAGGCTGTAAAAGAGCCTGGTGATATGTAGATTTGGTAGATGATGCCTTACATGTTACTTACACCCCAGACCCACCCATCTCATTCCTGATCTCCATCTCTTTACGCCGCCTGCGCAGCCCTCAAACCCCCTCTCTGCCCCGCATTCCGACTTCTCACCTCGGTCTGCCCAACCTCCAAATGCGTGCCTGTGCTGCTCTTCTCGAGCGACACAGCCGCCCGGTCAGTCACTTGGATATAATCCTTGGCATCATGCTCCACCGCACCAGGAGTAGAGACGTGAATACCCTCAACGAGAACCTTCTCATCATCCGGTATCTCCAGTGTAGTTTCCTTAATCTCGGGACCTTGTGTCTTTGTGCCGAAGGGCGGGTCGAAGCGCTTCCGCAGCGTTTCAATCATCTTGCCGAACCAGAACCAGTTCAGGCCGTTGAGGATGATGTTGGAGGCGAGATAGGCGGTTATGAGCCAGAGAGGGACGGTTTGGCCTTCGGCGAACCGGAGGATGTCGTGTTTGAAGCCGGCGTTGTGGAGGGTAGTGTTTTGCGACAGCTTTCCGACGTCTGGGTCTGAGTGCGTGTATGCGCCGGCGGCGTAGGCGTGGTAGACGTCGGTAAAGACGCGGATGGAGTTATAGGATCCCCACACGATGCGGCAAGAGAAGAAAGTGCATAGCAGGATTATGCCGTTGACGAGCTGGATGGTGGTGCCGGTCATGTTGAGCTTATCGCAGAACCAGTGGATGTTCAGGAAGGGCGAGGAGAGTTCGTAGAGGATAAAGGTGCACGCGTAGTAGTTCACGAAGGGACGCTGTCACACGATCAGTACTCTGAATAGCTCCCATACGCTCTGGAAAGCACCGTGGTCTACTTACGAAACCCAGCGAGAATACGCAGAGGGCACAGATAGCATGGAACAGCATGCCGGTACCGAATGCCTTGACATTCTGCAACGTGATGACCAAGTCCCATAGGAAGTAGCCTCCTGCCATAGCTTGGATCAAGCCAGACGCTCCAGTGTATCCATGCACGCGCTCCGTCGAGTCCATCTGATTCAGCTCCTTATCCGTCCACATGACCCATAGCGCCATTCCGCAGACCAGCGTGCTCTGCACAAATGACACGATGTGCACATCCCAGTTGAGCTTGGTTCGCGCGGTGAAGTTGGCGTATATCCGCGGGAAGAAGAAGCGTGAGATGGCGGGGGCGCCGTAGCTGAAGATGATCTGGTAGAATGTGAAGGCTATCGCGACTTCGTGGAAGTGCAGCGGCAGCGACTTCATGTTGAGGAAGTCGGCGACGGGCTGTACATATTTGACCAGGCTCTCCGGCGGCGCCAAAGGGAACGGGTCGTGCATCGTGGCAGTCGAGTGTGGGGTGCAGCAGACGCGGAGGTAGGTGGAGGTGGAGGTGCGAGGAGTGATGTCAGGGCGGTAAGAGTTGCACGCGAGCAGGAGCGATGGTCCCTTCTTATGCAGGGAAGCAGCGGAGGGGCGTTCGGCAGGAAGGCAGAGCAAGAGCGGATTTATACTCGGGTAGATACGAAGATCCAAGGCCGCGGCGGCACAATGATGCACGCCGCTCGAGGATGCCTGGGAAAAGGTGCGGATGACGACCAAGCTTGGTGCAGTCCCTTGTTCTAGGCCGAGATGCGATTAGCGAGCCGAGGACCCATCGCCCTGCGCCAGAGGCACACGACAGATTTCATGTCCACCGGGTCATTTTTGTGGAATGCTAAATCACTGCCACGGGACCACGTCATGTTGGATGCTGTTGCATGTGTATGGGTACAGTGCACCGCCACTAGAGGCGTCATGCCGTGACAAATCTCACGCTCTTCGGACGCCGCATCACCGCATACAAGGAAGAAGTTGAACACCTAATAGAAGTAAATAGCTCCGAGGTTTTTATTGACTTGGCTAACTTTCGTTTTAGAATAGAGTAGACTGCAGTGCAGTTGTCCGGCGTGTTCCTCGTAGAGGTGGTAGTGGGTATCTTTAAAGCAATAATGTGATGATGAAGACGCTGCGCTCAAAGCCCATCAATTCTGACGTTCTGATTGTGCCAGCAATTTATGCATTTATCCGCTCTCAACCTCGCAGCGTATGCTACGAGAAACATCTCTGCAACGTACGATGTTCTCTCGATTCTGTCGAGAAGGAAGTAGAAGTCCTGCAAACTCCTATAGCTAATGATCCGATTGCTGTGACCGAGTATATTTGCCGGGTGGGCGGTGAACTGGCTCTGTTGTGCGGCCGGTACAGGTGAGTTGAAGAGAGCATTCATGCGTCTAGCCTCTTCCATGGAAGATACCGGCGGCGTAGGTAGCCCAGAAAGATAGTCCTGGGCAGACGCATGATCATGTGATGCCATGTTGGTTGGTCCTGTCCATCCTCCTGTGTTCCCCCCGGGCAGAAGAGTACCTGCTGCTCTGTTTTCGGCCAGCCCTCTTTCCATGTCCAACTGTGAACCAATCCACAATGACCACACAGCTTCTGTCAAGTTGTCATGTGTGTGTACAACGTTGAAAGCGAACCCCATCTCGTGCTCGTTGTTGAAAGGATAGTGTCTGTTGGTCTGGCTATGCCTCCCACCAGGGAAATAGTCTTGGCAAATGACAGTGGGATTTGAGACGCCGAGCTCGTCGTTGACCTGCTTGTTGAAGTATGCGTTGCGATGCTTCTCACTCATCGACACCAGTCCTTCTTCCCACATAAGTCGCTCGGCGACAAGGAAAAGTTTACGCACGTGGGCATGCGCCTCACGCTTCCCTCTGCAGATGGGGCAACAATAGAATGGCATGTACTGAAGGTTTGGAGTTTGCGTGGCATGTGCCTTCAATCCTGGTTGTGGATATGGAATGAAGTCTTGCCGCGGGAATGGTACAGTCGCGGGCGGTCCTTGGCCCCGACTCGTACTTGGTTTGCGTCTTCTCCCAGTTTCAGCAATGAAGCCATCTTCGAAGGAGATTTTGGAGTCTTCCGGGTCGGCCAGAGGGTCGCATACCGGGTCAATTGGGCGATTGCCAGGATTGGAAGCCATGGTGAGTAAGTTGTAGGTGAGAGAGGCCAAGAGCACTCATGATTTACACAGGTCTGTCAGGCAGGCTTTTGAGCTCGTATTTGAAGCCCTGACCCAACACGAGGATGTATTACGAGTACTTGCGAGTGTCTCGCTGGGGCTTCACAGGGTCACCGCGGTACCGTGGTCGTGAGCGGGTTAAGGTGGGAGGACAGGCGAATAGACATTCTGCCCTCACATATTGTTGAACTTACGCGCAGCGTTGCCATCTTACTCGTCTGGCTGATCCTCAACAGACACCTGCTGCGAATAGTACACCCATGTAAGGCGGAGTGAGAGAATGCGGGGAGGTTTCGTGACGCGACTTACGCGACGGCAGCGTGCAGGGATCAAGGATGCTCAAAAGTTAGGAAGGCGCGAAAGCGGGACACTGCAAGAGATTCGATTGAGGTTCTCATGTCACAACCATGAAAGCTGTCCGACCATCTTTCCGCGCCAATGCAACATGTCAGAGGCAAATCTTCTGCAGCAACTTAACGTCCTGCCGGACAGGTTTAATACCACGCCGAGCATACACACGACCCGCATTCGCACCGAAACCCACCATCGACATCAAACACATCCGACAGAACCCAGGACTATATGAGCAGAACTGCATAGATCGCAACTATGCCGCACACAGCAAATCGTCATGGCGGATCATAGAGCTGCACGAGCGATGGCTCGCACTCCAACAAAGCAGTCGCGACCTACGAGAGCGCAACAATCGCATACGGGCCACTCTAGCTAGGACAGCATCGCGCGCCAAGGACGCCGACGGCAAGCCGGTAGCCTTGAGGGAGGGTTTGATCAGCGATGCGAAGGCATTGAAGGCAGAGTTGAGCTCTATCGAGGCACAAGAGTCAGAGATCCAAGAAGAGATAGAAGGGCTGGCGCAGGATCTACCCAACTTAAGCAGCACATGCACGCCCGTCGGCACCGAAGCAGATGTACTCGGCTACATCAACGAGTCGTCGAAATCACAAAATCGCAAGTCGCACGTCGACATTGGGCAGGAATTGGGGATACTTGACTTCTCGGGCTCAGCGCAGACTTCGGGCTGGGGTTGGTACTTTCTGGTCGGAGATGGTGCAATGCTGGAACAGGCACTCGTGCAGTACGCCCTAGGTGTCGCTAGGAGGAAAGGATGGAAAGCAGTCGCACCTCCATCCTTGGTTTACTCGCACATTGCATCTGCCTGCGGATTCCAACCGCGGGATCAGAATGGGGAGCAACAAATATACGCTATCGAGCAGTCGGAGAAGGACAAGGCAAAGCCGCAACTCGCTCTCGCCGGAACTGCAGAAATACCGCTTGCTGGCATGAAGGCCAATCAGACTCTAGAGGAGACCGAGCTGCCACTGAAGGCGGTCGGCGTGAGCAGATGCTACCGTGCTGAAGCTGGCGCAAGAGGAGCCGACACAAAGGGCTTGTACCGTGTTCACGAGTTCACCAAGGTTGAGATGTTCGCCTGGACAACGCCCGACAACATGGGAGAAGATCACTTCACCACTCCAACAGCACCGAGCTCAGAGTCAATCTTTGACGAGATGCTGTCGATCCAAAAGGAGATACTAGAAGCACTCGGGCTGCACTGCCGCATCCTGGAAATGCCCACAACCGACCTCGGTGCCAGCGCGACGCGGAAAATTGACATCGAAGCCTTCTTCCCATCGCGTGAGAAGGACGAAGGATGGGGCGAGGTGACATCGTCCTCCATGTGCACAGACTATCAGAGTCGGCGACTACAGACTCGCATGCGCGTGAAGGGAGGCAAACTAGAGTTCCCGTACACGCTCAACGGAACAGCACTTGCTGTGCCCAGAGTCCTCGCAGCCATTCTGGAGAACCACTGGAACGAACAGGACGGCACAGTAACAATACCAGAGGTGCTGCGACCGTTCATGGGTGGGCAAGAAAAGATACAGGCGGAGCGTC